CCATGAGTCAGCTAATGTTTTCTTAACATTATCTGTAACAAGTGACCCATGAGTCAGCTAATTTTTTCTTGACATGATCTGTAACAAGTGACCCACGAGTCAGCTAATATTTTCTTGAAATGATCTGTAACAAGTGACCCATGAATCAGTTAATATTTTCTTGACATGATCTGTAACAAGTGACCCATGAGTTAGCTAATTTTTTCTTGACATGGTCTGTAACAAGTGACCCATGAGTCAGCTAGTATTTTCTTGAATTGATCTGTAACAAGTGACCCATGAGTCAGCTAATATTTTCTCGAAATGATCTGTAACAAGTGACCCATGAGTCAGCTAATATTTTCTTGACATTATCTGTAACAAGTGACCCATGAGTCAGCTAATATTTTCTTGACTTGATCTATAACAAGTGACCCCTGAGTCAGCTAATATTTTTTTGACATGATCTGTAACAAGTGACGCATGAGTCAGCTAATATTTCTTGACATGATATGTAAAAAGTGACCCATGAGTCAGCTAATATTTTCTTGACATGGTCTGTAACAAGTGACCCATGAGTCAGCTAATATTTTCTTGACATGATCTGTAACAAGTGACCCACGAGTCAGCTAATATTTTCTTGACATGATCTGTAACAAGTGACCCATGAGTCAGCCAATATTTTCTTGACATGATCTGTAACAAGTGACCCATGAGTCAGCTAATTTTTTCTTGAAATGATCTGTAACAAGTGACCCATGAGTCAGCTAATATTTTCTTGAAATGATCTGTAACAAGTGACCCATGAGTCAGCTAATATTTTCTTGACATTATCTGTAACAAGTGACCCATGAGTCAGCTAATTTTTTCTTGACATGATCTGTAACAAGTGACCCACGAGTCAGCTAATATTTTCTTGACATGATCTGTAACAAGTGACCCATGAGTCAGCCAATATTTTCTTGACATGATCTGTAACAAGTGACCCATGAGTCAGCTAATTTTTTCTTGAAATGATCTGTAACAAGTGACCCATGAGTCAGCTAATATTTTTTTGACATGATCTGTAACAAGTGATCCATGAGTCAGCTAATATTTTCTTGACATGATCTGTAACAAGTGACCCATGAGTCAGCTAATGTTTTCTTAACATTATCTGTAACAAGTGACCCATGAGTCAGCTAATTTTTTCTTGACATGATCTGTAACAAGTGACCCACGAGTCAGCTAATATTTTCTTGAAATGATCTGTAACAAGTGACCCATGAATCAGTTAATATTTTCTTGACATGATCTGTAACAAGTGACCCATGAGTTAGCTAATTTTTTCTTGACATGGTCTGTAACAAGTGACCCATGAGTCAGCTAGTATTTTCTTGAATTGATCTGTAACAAGTGACCCATGAGTCAGCTAATATTTTCTCGAAATGATCTGTAACAAGTGACCCATGAGTCAGCTAATATTTTCTTGACATTATCTGTAACAAGTGACCCATGAGTCAGCTAATATTTTCTTGACTTGATCTATAACAAGTGACCCCTGAGTCAGCTAATATTTTCTTGACATGATCTGTAACAAGTGACGCATGAGTCAGCTAATATTTTCTTGACATGATCTGTAACAAGTGACCCATGAGTCAGCTAATATTTTCTTGACATGGTCTGTAACAAGTGACCCATGAGTCAGCTAATATTTTCTTGACATGATCTGTAACAAGTGACCCACGAGTCAGCTAATATTTTCTTGACATGATCTGTAACAAGTGACCCATGAGTCAGCCAATATTTTCTTGACATGATCTGTAACAAGTGACCCATGAGTCAGCTAATTTTTTCTTGAAATGATCTGTAACAAGTGACCCATGAGTCAGCTAATATTTTTTTGACATGATCTGTAACAAGTGATCTATGAGTCAGCTAATATTTTCTTGACATGATCTGTAACAAGTGACCCATGAGTCAGCTAATGTTTTCTTAACATTATCTGTAACAAGTGACCCATGAGTCAGCTAATTTTTTCTTGACATGATCTGTAACAAGTGACCCACGAGTCAGCTAATATTTTCTTGAAATGATCTGTAACAAGTGACCCATGAATCAGTTAATATTTTCTTGACATGATCTGTAACAAGTGACCCATGAGTTAGCTAATTTTTTCTTGACATGGTCTGTAACAAGTGACCCATGAGTCAGCTAGTATTTTCTTGAATTGATCTGTAACAAGTGACCCATGAGTCAGCTAATATTTTCTCGAAATGATCTGTAACAAGTGACCCATGAGTCAGCTAATATTTTCTTGACATTATCTGTAACAAGTGACCCATGAGTCAGCTAATATTTTCTTGACTTGATCTATAACAAGTGACCCCTGAGTCAGCTAATATTTTCTTGACATGATCTGTAACAAGTGACGCATGAGTCAGCTAATATTTTCTTGACATGATCTGTAACAAGTGACCCATGAGTCAGCTAATATTTTCTTGACATGGTCTGTAACAAGTGACCCATGAGTCAGCTAATATTTTCTTGACATGATCTGTAACAAGTGACCCACGAGTCAGCTAATATTTTCTTGACATGATCTGTAACAAGTGACCCATGAGTCAGCCAATATTTTCTTGACATGATCTGTAACAAGTGACCCATGATTCAGCTAATTTTTTCTTGAAATGATCTGTAACAAGTGACCCATGAGTCAGCTAATATTTTTTTGACATGATCTGTAACAAGTGATCCATGAGTCAGCTAATATTTTCTTGACATGATCTGTAACAAGTGACCCATGAGTCAGCTAATGTTTTCTTACCATTATCTGTAACAAGTGACCCATGAGTCAGCTAATTTTTTCTTGACATGATCTGTAACAAGTGACCCACGAGTCAGCTAATATTTTCTTGAAATGATCTGTAACAAGTGACCCATGAATCAGTTAATATTTTCTTGACATGATCTGTAACAAGTGACCCATGAGTTAGCTAATTTTTTCTTGACATGGTCTGTAACAAGTGACCCATGAGTCAGCTAGTATTTTCTTGAATTGATCTGTAACAAGTGACCCATGAGTCAGCTAATATTTTCTCGAAATGATCTGTAACAAGTGACCCATGAGTCAGCTAATATTTTCTTGACATTATCTGTAACAAGTGACCCATGAGTCAGCTAATATTTTCTTGACTTGATCTATAACAAGTGACCCCTGAGTCAGCTAATATTTTCTTGACATGATCTGTAACAAGTGACGCATGAGTCAGCTAATATTTTCTTGACATGATCTGTAACAAGTGACCCATGAGTCAGCTAATATTTTCTTGACATGATCTGTAACAAGTGACCCATGAGTCAGCTAATATTTTCATGAATTGATCTGTAACAATTGACCCATGAGTCAGCTAATATTTTCTTGACATTATCTGTAACAAGTGACCCATGAGTCAGCTAATATTTTCTTGACATGATCTATATCAAGTGACCCCTGAGTCAGCTAATATTTTCTTGACGTGATCTGTAACAAGTGACCCATGAGTCAGCTAATATTTTTTTGACATGATCTGTAACAAGTGACCCATGAGTCAGCTAATTTTTTCGTGAAATGATCTGTAACAAGTGACCCATGAGTCAGCTAATATTTTCTTGACATTATCTGTAACAAGTGACCCATGAGTCAGCTAATGTTTTCTTGACATGATCTATAACAAGTGACCCCTGAGTCAGCTAATGTTTTCTTGACATGATCTATAACAAGTGACCCCTGAGTCAGCTAATATTTTCTTGGCATGATCTGTAACAAGTGACCCATGAGTCAGCTAAAATTTTCTTGACATGATCTGTAACAAGTGACCCATGAGTCAGCTAATATTTTCGTGACATGATCTGTAACAAGTGACTCATGAGTCAGCTAATGTTTTCTTGACATTATCTGTAACAAGTGACCCATGACTCAGCTTATAATTTCTTAACATGATCTATAACAAGTGACCCATGAGTCAGCTAATATTTTCTTGACATGATCTGTAACAAGTGACCCATGAGTCAGCTAATATTTTCTTTCCAACTTTATGTGAGATTATGCAGTGCAACTCCTGAAAGAGTCTTCGGCTCTTGATTTTTCCCAATGATTGTTTGTTGCATTAAAACCACACAAAACTCAATTTCAACTTAAAAATATTAGACAGTCTGATAGACTGTAATCTGTGCACAGATACTAAAATTGAACATAGTAAGTTGAAACTTTGGATAAAATAACTAAAAACTGAAAAACTGATTTTTCAAAACAAACGTAGATTTCGTAGGAACGGGCAATTAATTTGAAAAGATTCCAAAAAAATTTTAGGAAAACTTCAGAAAAAAAAAACATTTTTTTTGCGGTTTCTGACGAAAGGGAGGCGTAAACTTAAGATTTCAGAAAAAAATTAAAATAGCTTCAAAGCTGAGCTACGAGCCGCGGTGAAATAGTTACGACTCCGCATCTTAATGGGAAAGTCGGATTGTCGAGGACCTCCATGATCAGAGCTCGTTGTTTAAGGGTGAGGCAACACCCAGAGTACCCAGCCCAGAAACATAACAAAAAAATGGCTTGCAATTCTTAAGCATGAACCTAATAGCGGTTCTCCTTAAAGAGCTGAACTGTAAATTGTTCCAGTTTGAGTGAACCGTGAGATACTCGAAGTCGCACTAGGTTTGTTAAGCTACAAGGCTAGAATTCTCACCCACTTCGTGAGCAGTTAGACCGTACAAAGTTGCGCTCTCCTACGAAAAGAAAACTGCCAGTATTTAAATATAAAATATAGAAGAGCGGCCTCCAATGTTTGCAGTCATAACAAGAAGCAAAACATAAGTCCTTTCAGTATGTACATATTTCAGTAAAATCAGAACCATCTCAGTCGAAAAATCAACCAAAAGTTAGGATTGTGATATTTTTTTTATGTATTCTAACTTAGTCAAAATGTTTGTATTCTAAGTTAATAGAAGATGTGATGGAGAAATTCTGAGCTGTGCCCATATTTGCCTGTTTTTCTTTTTAGGCAGTCTCAACTCTTTCTCCGTGGCCGAATCCACTGCTGTTTCGAAGCGAATACGATCTGCTCAAGCAAGACAACTGTATTTGCAAAAACATCCCAATAGATTTCAGACTCTCGCAACCTTCAAACGTCAATGTCAGAGCAGATTTGCTGGAGAATTTCTCAGAAACTGTTGATTTATTAGCTTCAATAAAACACCAAAATGCCATCTCCAAGAATGATAACGATAAATATGTCTTCGGAGAGTACGTGAATAAGCTCGCCGGAGGCTCCGAGAACCTCAATGGTCGTTTGTTGATCACATTGTACGATTGGCTCTTTTCCATAACTCAGAACGCCGAAAAAGTTCTGCTGGAAATCATTTACGGTGACGTTAATAACGCACCTGAAAGTCAGAGAAAAAGAAGTTCGGATCTTGACGAACTGATGAAATCGAAATTTCACAACAAAACGAAAACAGCCTGCATAGAAATTGAAGGTGTTGCAGAAAATGATGATATAACAAACGTGGAAAACGCAGAAGTTTCCATTGGCGCAGAGGCTCAATCAAATTCAAAGCACCAAAATGAAGTTGTTCGAAACGAATTAGGTGATGATGAAAGCGCTGAGACGACCCCGGCTTCCACTAAAAGCGAAACTTTGGAAACTGAGAGCGACGAAACTCCTCAAATCGAAATATCACAAGAAAATGTTCTGCTTCCAGAACACACTTATACACCCAAGAAAGAATCTGAATCTGGTTCCGTCCTGGAAACGAACTCGGAAACTTCTGCAACTGTAATTGCCGTCAAAAATGAAGATAAAGGCGAGTTAAATGCTGACAATAATGAGAATAATAATGATGATGATGATAAGAACGATTATCAAGTTGATAGCAACGTTCATTTCAAGCATTCGGAAGTTCTGAATGATGGTTTTTCAGGATCCAAACAAGTGAGGTTGCCTGTTAATCAGAACAAGAAAAAGAGTGTCACTTTCAACGAGTTAGTAGACGTTAAGGAAGTAATTATAAAAAGAAAAACTGGATTGGAAGGCATTAATTTGTTCATGGACGACGACAACAACGATGAACTTCAGAGAGCCGAACACAGTTCGAATTTTGTCGATGATGATAACGATGCGGATACTTCAGTTCAAGAAGAGGTTTTTAGGGTGAAACTGGAGTTGCAGAAACCTGCAGTCACCTTAATTGACAGCGAAGAAGCGTTTCAAAATTTGGACGACAGTGATAATGATGGTTTTGGTGTAGATAACTCTGTTCTGAAAATTGATCACGAACCAGACGGGGTAAATATCATTCCTCAAATCAAAATTCATGAGTGTGAAGAGCTCCAAGAAGAAGAAGAAATTGAAGATTCAAGCACTGAGACTAGACCCGTGAACAATAACTTGCCTGAAGATGATAATGACACGCAGACAACTTCGGATGCTGAAAATTTTGCTGAAAACGATAAACTAATAACAAAAGAAGGCTTCATTGAAAACACCGACGATACACAAAGTTTGTCTTCAGAAATTGATATCAACATCGAAAGTAAAATTGACAACGAAAGTCACGTGGATATTACAGGAAAGGAATCGGCGAATAATGCACTTGTGCAAGATAAAGAGAAAACAGTAGACTCTTCTTCGAATGTCGAAAGGGAACCAAATGACGACGAATCGCAATTAGCCGAGGAGTCATCGGAGGAGGAAACAGTTGCGGAAGAAAGGGAGGATTTCAAAGAAGACTTGGATCCGACGATGGCGTACAATTTGACGCAGTTGCAGCAGTTACAGAGTAATCTAGCAGGTCAGACTGAGACTATTTTTAGATTATCATTGAGCTATTGAGGACTTTTTTTTGAACATATCTCAGTTAATATACGGTATTGATATGACGTTTTGCTTAAACCACATCAAAATCATAATAAATTTATAACAAAAAACTTCATTTCACAAAAAATACATGATTTTATAATAAGATTTCTACTTTTTTGCAACCAATAAAAATTTTACTCAGCAAGAATTCGCTACTCAAATGTCGAAATTATCATGAAACTCTTCTAGAAATGTTCTAGACTTGGCTGGTAATGTCACGTGGTTCTGTAATTTGTTTCCGTTTCATCGCGGATTAAAATTTCATCAGGAAGTCTAATAAATTACATTAAGCTGGTAGTGCAATAGCGTTGAAACATGTACAAAGTTCTCAGAGATGAAATTCAGCTGAATTTTGAGCTATGCTTGAAGGATGCGGTCTGTCAAAGTGGGACAGAATTTACCGTTCAAGATATGTTGAACTTTTTGCTGCTCAAATTAATCGAATAACTTTTGTAGAAAAAAATTTGCAAAAACTCAAAAAGCCGAATTTAAATTAAATTAGCATTTTCATTATGTTAAACATTTAAGAAATTTCTACTTTTTTAAATACATGGTTTTTCTGATGACTTCACAGGAATGCTCAGTACCTTGCATGGGAAGTCAGGATCCGCTGTCCAGTACTACTTCAAAGCCCTCGAGAACCAGAGGCGAGTGTTCGGTCGGCACAACGGGCAAGTGGCCGAATCACAGCTCAAAATAGCCGAAGTGCTGCAGAAAGAAGACAGAATTGAAGACTGCCTAGATTACTACAAAAGAACGCTTAAAACTCTCAAGGCTACCGCAAATAAGGAGGAGGATAAATTGAGTGAAAGTGAAGGGAATGCAGAGCTAGTAAGCCAAGTGGCCTTTCGGATAGCGGAACTCCAGTTGAACCAGATGAATAATCATGTAACCGCGCTGGAGTTCTACCTTGGTATGTACTATTTTATGTATTCAGTTATAAGAGGTTCGAAATTTACTATATACTTCAACTAGTAAAAATGCTTATGACTAGGGACGACTTATCGCAACTCTAAATCAAATTAGGACCATTAATTTTAAACGACTAGAAATAATACGCATTTGTTCGATAATCGGAACAAAAACACTTTACTCTAATGAATGGTGCTTTTTACATAATCAGATAACTGAGTTGTAGTCGGATTTCTTTTGCAATAAGAGATGATTCGGTACTAGGTACAAAACCCTCATATTTTTTATCAATTGAATCTACTTATCAACTTAACTCTCCTCCTTATGGTAAAATACAAACTATTACAAAACAGTTTCGTAATTAAAGCTATGCAAATAAACGACAAAGAATTGACGAAACTGATACATCAATTTCGAGAACAGTACATACTAGACAACAAGATATTAGGTGAATTATTGTGGCTTATTTTGATCCCAGGTAGAAGTAAAATTCTTTGCACTGATGGAGAAGGCTTTTTGTGTGAGCAGACGCCAAGCGGGTCAAACACAGAAAACATAAGAGGTCGAACTTGAAAAAAAATTGAAAAAAAAAACTAGATTAACCAAATTTTGTATGTATCGATAAAAAACATCTAGGGGCCCAGCTAAAACTGGAGATACATCTTTGCCATTTTTCGAACTTTTTATTGAGATGCGAGATGAAATGCATAATTTCAAAATGGATTTTACTCGAAACTCTTGTTGTTTCGTTACTAAAATAAGTAAGAGGAGCAAAAATTTTTTGAGATATTGGAATTTTCCCAACGACATGAAATTTTTCTAACTCGCCGCTTCTGCAACAAAAATTCTTGCAACTGGTTTTTCACACTGAAACCTTCTTCTCAGATTTGAGAGGGTAGTTTTTTAAGAAAAGGTAAAAAATTTCTAAAAAAAAAATATAAAATTCAATAACTTGATTTTCCGAAATCCATAAAAATTTTTCTGCAAAAAACAGGTCGAAGCCACTTCAGCAGAAAAAATTCCCAAAACGAGGGTTTTCGATTAAACACTTAACCGGAAATGTTTTTGAGAAAAGTTTAAAAATTTTCAAAAAAACGGTCAAAGTTTCAAAACTTTTTTGACGGCTAATATTTTGTAGAATAAATTGGGCGTAGCCAATTATAAAGGTGGGCTTCCAACAACCTGTTTTTTGGATTAAGCTTTGTATATCATATCAGATTTGGCAGGATATTTATCGAGAAAAGTCAAAAAATTCCAAAAATATGTCAACCAATCAAAAAGTTCAATTTTCCAACCATCATAGCTTCTTGTGTAAAAAAAAGTTGGACTTAGACGCATATGCAGAAGAGATTCAAGCAACCTGTAATTTCGATAGGAAGCCAAAAAATCAAATCAATTAGTTTCAAAAACGAAAAAAGAAAGGCTTTCCAGAGGGTCATAAGTTTTTGTGTAAAAAAGTGGGCGTAATCGATTATGCAGTGACCTTCACACAACGCGTCATTTCGCTTGAACCCAAAAACAAGACGCAGAATTGGGACGTTAATTCTCAAGAAAATTCAAACAGTTTTATCAGGAGTGGTCATTTATTCAGTGGTTTTCCCCACCACCTGTTATTTCCATTCAAACCACAATTTCGGATTTTTGAGGGTAGTGGAAAAGAAAAGTCAAGAAGTTTTTTTTTCTGAAAATCGGTAGAGTAGTTTCTGAGAAAAAAAAAGTTATGCAACAAGTGAAAAAATTTTCCGAATCATCTCAAAAAATGAAACAAGGGTAAAAACCAATTCCATACATTTTCATAGTAACTGTTTTTATCAAGTTTTAGATCTTAATATATATGCCAATCCAGACATTTGCATTTTAAATTAGCAACGGAACTAAATTTACGAAGCGGAAACAAAGCAGACAACTTTTGAGCAGAAACCAATTGAGCAAAAAAAAATTTAAAAAAATGTACGAAGTGTTACGTCCCCCGAAACTGCAATGAGCATTACTTGTAACCTTGTAACCAATATGATACTTTCTCGCAGCACAACCAAAAATTCGTGATATGGCATCTAAGTTGACAAAACTTGAGCAGGCAAAAACGTAAGTCCTGCAATTCAATTTTAACCGGAAATATTTATTCATTTTCTTTTATACTGAAAAACAACAAGGTCCTACCGGGACTCGAGCCCCAGCCCTTCGGGTAGAAAAGCGACCGCGTTACCTCCAGGTTAAAAAGGAAAGTTAATAAGTTATTAAGTTGTTAACCTGGAAGTTAATGTTCAATAAATAAGCAAGTTCAGTTTCTCGTAAAGAGAAAAGGTGTTTAGGGAAAAAAGTCTAGTTCCCGGTTCTTAAACCGTTTTTACTCGTTTTTGGTAAACAAACACTTACACGGAGCGTGCTCACTGCCTTTTGAAAATCTCCTTTGTTGTACTAAAAGTAAAAATACTTGGAAACGAATTTATTATGATTATTATTATCATTATGATTAAAACCTTTAATAGGGGTTGATAATTCAATCTAGGTACTATGGGCAACTAAAGAGAACCGTATATTCTTCATGATACTCATGGGAACTGTAAAATGGTGTCGAAACGATAAAAACAAGATCCCATGTTGCTATTGTATTAAATCTGTCATCGTCCAACTATACGATAGATCAATCTACTATAAAACGGTCGTTTTATATCTCAGTAGCACAATGCACGCTTGATTGCACCCAAGTTTCCATTTTCCATTGCTCAAATAAGAATTAAAATGTGAATGAATGGTAAACAAAAATATTTGTTTTCTTCTGATTTGTATAGAGGCATTGAGCGCCATGGAGCGAACACGATCAGCGTCTGATTCTGATCTAATCAATATCCACCAGAAGATTGGGAACCTCTACCTACGCGACAAGGATTACAAAAAAGCCCTCTGCCACTTAGAAATAGCCGATGAAAAGAGAAAAACGGAGCCATCGGAGGACAAAAAGCAGAGCTCAGAAGAGAACTTCATTAGTGACCAAATCGAGACTTGTATCAAAATGGGCAAAATTTACTTTCAAGCCTCTGAGTATGGAAAAGCTTCAGATAAATTATCACGCGCTCTGGACTTGATGGAAAGCGTAAAAAACTCAAGCACCGAAATGAAAAGTAAGACCATTTTACTGCTTTATTTTAATTTCAACATCAGCTAGGTTTTATCATCTAGGGTTCAGCAGTTCGCAGTTTCATAGTTTCGAATTTATTAGTCGAACTTTCTTGAGACTTGAACCATATATATCTTTTCAACATCAATGACAGGTTTGCTAAAAGTTTGAGTTCTAGTTCTCATTGTTGTTAAAAGAAAACAAAAGGCCATTGACCCTATTCGATTCTACATTTTGGTATTATGCCCTACTAACCATAGCCCTCCTGCCACTTTTTCCTTCTACACATTTTGCTTATAAAATCTAATTAGGTGGTTTCTTTTGTGATGAAGAGAGCGAATGATGGAAATTTAATTTCAGCCAATCATAATTCAGCATTAAAAAATCTCGTAGAAATAGCAATATTTTCAACTTGAGCAAAAAAAATTCTGGACAGAATAAGTGGAACTGAACGATTGTAAAATAAGCAGACGAATAATTGTCAAATATTGTCAGACCTACGACGAACTGAAAATAACAATTCTTAAAGTATACCGATTCAAAAAAAAAATTAAGAAAAAAATGCTTGGTTCCTGCTTGAATTCTACCGCAAAACTTGGGTATAAACCGCACAATCCCTCTCCCCGCCACCAAGTGATCAGCCGTAGATTGTAACCCCTAGCCACGTATTAATTTTGAAAATTAATTCTTTATAAAGTTTGCATTTCGAAACCAGCCAACGCACAAATAAAATTGGTTGTCACAATTTTTATGAAGGATTGCATTTGAATGCTGTTGATTACATAAGCTAATGTAATTTCAATCATTCTCTCTAGTAAAGTTGTTTATTTTTTATACAGGTAGGCTATACTACTGAGGGGGAGAATAGTTAAAAATGCAATTTTTTGAACAATTCATTGTATCCTTTTAATAAAATAACACTAGGCTCCCAGCCCAAAAACTTGAACAGATTGAACAGATTGAACAGTTTTTCCAGTATAAATTTGAGATTCTAAGGCTCGCTCATCGGAATGTTTTAAAAAATTCAAAATTTACCACGGAAAATGAGCTCATTGCTGTCACATTACCAGATATGAAAAGTTATGAACTAGAGTTTGCTTTTAAGTAGGCTTCAAACCACATGAGGGATTGTGAGAGCTAAGAAATGTGGAATTTCATCAGTCGTTCAAGAATATCTTGTCAAAACACAAAAAATTTCGAACAAATTTTTGTATGCCTTGATTAAAATATAATCTAGGCAAATTGAAGCTGGCTAATTTACCCCAAACATCAAAAAAAAATTTGACATACAAACTTGAAAACAGAAGTATGCTCAAAAAAATTTGTTTCAATTTTCGTAACGAAAGTAACGGAATATTTGTGCTCGGGGTGGGTTTTTTTTCTTCAGACGAATTTCGACTTTTTAACTTTTTTTGACGAAATTTCTTTATATCATTCGAAAGCTATTGTTGTCGTGAGCTTAAATTTGAAAAGATATTTTACCTGTGAACATTTTTCGTAAAGTTATGGGGGTTTGAAGATTGTCATTTTGGTCAATTTGGGACAATTAACGCGCGATATATTTCGCGCTATTAACGCGTAAGCGGAGATTTAATCCGTCTTAAAATCGTTCCAAATTGGTTGAAAGAAGCTTAATTGCCATAATTGATTTGATAATAGGAGCAAAATGTATCACTTTCTACTTAATATGTCTTGTGTGGGGATGTTTTCACAAAAAATCTCAAAATTTAATTTAATTTTATTACATTTAAATTTTTCATGTTTTTACTGCTCCATAGACCTTAAAAGGCAGTCAGAACATTCAGCGCTTCGCCCTGATACGAGCAGTCTTGTTTAATTTTTCGCAGGGATAAGTATGAAATTTCAAAGAATAATCTTTTGCAAAATTTAACACAGAGGCGAAGATGCGCTTCGCAAACACAAGCGAGAAAATGCAAAGAAGAGCTCTAAACCGGAAAAACAAAGTGAAACAAGACTGCTCGCATCAGGGCGAAGCCCTGAAAGTTCCGACTGCCTTCTAACGTTTACGGAGCAGTAATAACATAAAAAACATTTAAAAAAATTGAATGAAAAAAAATAAAATGAAAAACTTTTCTAAAATTTGAAAATTTTTCTACAAAAATCATCACCCCACATGCCATATAAAGTTAAAAACAATAGATTTTGCTCCTTGTAACAAATCAATTTTGGCAAAATAGCTTGTTTCAAACAATTTGGAACAATTTCTAAGACGGATTAAATCTCCGCTTAACTTTTTTCTACCGAATTCAAAGAATGAACTCTTGAGAAGGTAAGATCCCCATGATTTGCTTTTTTGGTTGACCTTTTCATCTCAGATTTGTGCAATTACTATTTGAGAACAGATAAAAATTTAAAACAATTAGGTCAAAAATCCCTCTATTGAAACTTTCGAAGGCTGTAGGCCTTGGGGAACAATGAAAAGAGACTAGTCAAATATACAGGCATAGAAAAAAAGCAGCCGGTTTTGCCATTAGTACTTTATTTGTAAATCAGTAATAGTTTTTGTGAAAAAAATGAAATTTCTGCTTTTTTTGTGATTTTTTTTTTCAAATTTCTTTTAGAAAACTCAAGCGAAACTTTTTTCAAAATTTGAAATTCCCAACCCTGTAGTTGAGGGCTATCAGAGTACTCTCAGGGGTTGCGAACCTTGCCTTCAATTATGACTGCTCAAATCCTTGTAGTTTTCGAGATATTACTTTTTCTGTGATTTTTTAAAAAGATTGCAAAAAATTTAAATTATTTTTTTTCCAAATTTAAAATTTCTTACCCTGTAGTTGGGTGCTTTCAGGGTACTCCCAGGGGTTGCAAATCTTGCCTCCAGATATGACTTCTTAAATCCTTGTAGTTTACGAGATAAAACGATTTTTGTTTTGTTTTCGAAATATTTTTAGAAAACTTATACGAAATGTTGGGGGGGGGGGGGGGGGGCTATCGGAGTAGTCTTAGGAACCTTGCCTCCAATTATGACTGCTCAAATCCTTGTAGTTTTCGAGATATGATTTTTTTTGTGATTTTTTCAAATTTTTCTTTAGAAAACTCAAGCGAAACTTTTTTCAAAATTTGAAGTTCCCCACCCTGTAGTTATGGGCTATCAGAGTACTCTCAGGGGTTGGGAACCTTGCCTCCAATTATGACTGCTCAAATCTTTGTAGTTTTTGAGATATTACGTTTTTTGTGATTTTTTCAAAAAATTAAATTAATTTTTTTTCCAAAATTTAAAATTTCGTACCCAGTAGTTGGGTGCTGTCAGGGTACTCCCATGAGTTGTAAATCTAGCCCCCGAATTTGGCTACTCAAATATTTGTAATTTTCAAGATTTGACGTTTTCGAGATTTGACGGAAAATTGAAATTCAGAAAAAGTTCATAAATTGTGAATTTACCAACCCTGTAATTGGGTGCTGACAGAATACACTAAAAGCCTGCAGATCTGGTTTCCAATATAGCGGTTTTTCATGAGTTGTCAAAAACTAGAAGCACCGGAGGTGCGTAACACGCTAGTTATGATTAAATTGAAATATACCAAGAGTGCCACCAAATGAGCACTTTTGTTTGCGACTTAGGTTGGAAAAAAATCCTTCGTAATAAAACATTCCGCTTCGCTTGTGTAAACAGTAAAAAGTGCCAACCGAAATATTTTCAAAAAGTTATCATTAAGTAAGCAGACAAAATTGAAGCCAACAAATTCCCAATAAGCCAAAAATCTTCCCCCAGGTACCATTTTGAGACCTCCATTTTTGGCTGGTTGTTTCTAAAAATTTTCTCAAGGCGTCTTTGGGGCCAATATATACAATTGTTAAGGGGGAGCGCGCGCCGAAAAAAAACACAATTTTTCGGTCAAAGCTATCCAACAATGTTTATAATCCACCCCTCCTCAAGAAAATCCTAGATCTGCCCCTGCATGTACCCCCCCCCCCCGCATATCATCTACACGCGCATTTCAGCAAATTTAACATTGTAATTTTTCATTCTGAGACTCAACTTTTTATCGTCAATTTATAGTTCGGGGTCTAGTACCTTATTGCAATATCTTGTTATTCGCAAGAATAATAACCCGATGCGAATAAGAACTTGCTTCTACATAGCTGCTCGCGGTCGCGCTTGAGAAAAGAGAAATATTCCGCAAAATACCATGCATTGAAGTTAATGAAATTGCATGAAAAAATAGTTCCCTTAACATAAAAAAGTTTTTTTTGTTGGTTTCATGATAAGCTTTTTTAGTTTTCACAATATTTTCTAGGGTCAAAATCTCGCCATTTTTGGCCAAAACACTTTGAATTAAATAGGAAGCTTTTGAAACAAAGCTTTTGGTTGGAGTCTGATTACGGCTTCAAAACTACAGTGCTGATTTAAATTAACCGGACAAAACGAGCTAAACTTGAAATTTAAAACGCGTTTTTCTCAAATTGGGTTGAGTTTAGGTGAAAACTTATGAAGACAAAACTTGCTTAAAATTTTAGCATTAATATGGTGTAATTTGTTTTGCGAAATGCGGGCCCAAAATTTTACCACAAAAATGGGTCATTTTGGCTTTTCTTAGTTAATCAAAAATTACGCCGAAAATACCCAGTCGATCTCAGACATAATTATACCAAAGGGAGCCCCTTACGCAGCCCAACAAACTTTAAGAAGGGTAAAAGTTTCAGCCAATCAAAATTCATCATCAAAATTCAATGCAAATAAACAATGAAATCAGTCAGTTTAAAGTGGTTTCATATCAGTATTTAGACAACCGCGTATTCAGACTGGTCAGTATTTAGACAAAGAAGAAATTAATAAATAATTATTATTTATTTTGGATTATTTATGTCTTTTCTCGATTCTGATTGGTTCATACAGTATTTGTCTAAACACTGACGAGTATGAATACGCGGCTGTCTAAATTTTGGCTGCACTCCGTTTAAAGCGAACTTGATTTGTTGAAAATTTTCGAGCATTTGTTCCTTTGAGCATGACAATAGCCTTATTGCCAGGGATCTGACAAACATGACGACAGCTGTTAATACGGTGGGTATTCACGAGTGCCAAAATGATAAATCAGTCCCATTTGTACCAAAAAAAAATCAATCGCGTTAGTACCAAAAATATTCAATTGTCCTAAGACTATTAAGCCGACTACTTCGAGCTCTTGGTTTAAGGTCGCCGGTGGGCGCGCTATGCGCGCGTGTCGCCGCTTTGCGGCGATAACCGGCTCTAATTTTCGTTTAGAGTCCTACCCTCTGTTGGCAAGCTCGCAACACGTTGGCGCGACTGCGGCGGTCACTATTCTGCTACTTAGTTTTCTTCTGTTTGAACAGAAGAAAATTAATTTAACAATTCGTTGGCTCACAATTCGACCAATCAGAAATTGAGTTGAATAATTTTGGTACAAATGGGACCGATTTTTCATTTTGGTACAAATGACCGTTGGTACAAATGGGACGTCACCGTTAATACGACAACCGTTTTTGATGAGTCTTAAGAGCTTTCTCAATTGATTTTCTGAGACATATAAACTGCTCAAAATCGAAAAACTCAAATTGAATGTTTTAACGCTCATTTGTCGACTCAAGTCTTGTTGTCTTATTTACCAAGTACTCCCTAGTCATGTCCGTTAACTTCAAAACCTATGCGCAATTAGAAGCGAGAATTTAGGTCTTTGTAGGAATTCAAATGGCCAACTTCTCGCTGTTTTTTGATGTTATCTTCGGCAAAATTTCCTCTAGGATTGATAGTTTTTAAGTTAGATAGGGTAATTTTTATTCGGGAATTACAAAGGAGCAATATCGATATGAAAATCCCAATTTTGAAAACCGTGGTCATTCTAATCGTCTGAGATTTTGTTTTAGTGGAAATACTGGATATTCTTGGCTCCAGTTTGTTCCATCAGCAAAAACACACGGAAGCCCTGAAATACTTCACGAAACTTCTGACCTTGCAACAAACCACAGAAAAATCAGCCAACCAATCAAAACCGACATCAACCTCGGCGGAAGTGTCACTCAGTCTATGCAAAATTGGTCGATGCCATCTGCTTGAAGGGCAGTTCGAAAAGGCACTGAGCCATTTCAAAAGGGATCTCGACATACAGAAAAGTTTGTATGGCGAAGACAGCGAGCAAGTAGGAAGAGCTTGCGCCAACTTGGGAGAGATTTATTTGAAAAAAGGGGACATAGGGAAAACACTGGAATTTTGGAAAAAAGCTTACTGGATTCTGGACGAAAAACTGGGCGAGAAAAATGCAGAGACTCTATTAGTCAAATCTTACTTGGAAAAACTAATCTGGATTACTGCTTAATTTAGTTCTTTAGGTTTATTATTTGATGATCAGAAATTATTTTCTAAACTCGACCAAAAAGATTGAAACAAATTAGGGTTTCTTTTTTAAACTTCTGTCCAATCAATTTTTCCAAGTTTCGATTTTTTGATGGTATCAAAAACGTTAATAAGAAGACAAGCAACTCTATTAAGCTCAATGAAATTAAAACTAAGAATTGAAAGAAAACAAGTTTATAAAAAAAACTGCAGTCTGAGAGGGATACGAACCAAACTTCAATCAGCAAAGGTAAACCATCAACCGATACACCAGTGCTGACTAGTCAATCTAAATAACAGACAATGAAAGCATTTAACTAAGTGGATACAGATCGTATTATTGAAGTAACATAACCGACTATAACAATAGCTAATCTTTGGCATTTGAGTTTCTGATAGCTGAGAGCGTTAAAACTGATGTCTGTTTTTGAGCAATCCAACGCTTAGTCACTATTCGCAGCGATTATTAAAGTCTAAAAATTAGCGCAATCGAAAGAGCCCCCAACAATTTGAAAAAATTTAAATTTTACTTTAATTTCACTTGACAAACAAAATTTCACTTAAGAAAACACTTCGATATCATTTCTAAATATTACTACTCAGTTTAATAGAGCAGATTTGGTAGTTTTTTTAATTACAAAACTTTTAGTAACTATACGGAGCTAAGAATCATTCATTAAACTAACTTAACCAATTACAAATCAGACATTTTTTTCGAAGATAAGAAAAACAAACAAATTTCTACAATTAACAAATAATAGCAAAGATAACCGGTTACTGTGCAAGTAGCACAGGATGTTCCGACCAGTCTTAAAAAAATACAAAGTTTTTTTCCAATTAGAAACGAGCAAAAAAGTAGAGCTTAAGCATTTTCGTCGGTCATTTAAATTGGAAAACAATTTTTAAGACAAATAAGAAGAAAAAACAAAACGACCAAAAAAAAATTCTGTTTATAATTTTTCAAAATTTTTTCCCAAATTGTTGAAGCTTTTGATTGCTAAAATGAAGTTTAAAACTTCAAAAACTTACTTCAATACAAAAAAACTTAATTTTCAAGGCATAAATTAAGCATAAATAAGCTAATGTAAGACTGCTCACTCGCTCAAATTAGACGAAAAATCAAAAATTTCAAACCGTTTTTTCTCGACACCGGGAAAATTGTTTGAAATTTTTTGATGTCGTTCGAATCACGTCTGAAAGGGCTTTAAGATAGTATATCGCTCCACCAGTCCGATGATTATTTATAGCAGCTGATTTTGCGAGGAAACAAAAAAGAGAAAAAACTAAAAACCACTAAAAAACTAAAACTAGAACACGTATAAAATCATCTTCTAGTGATTGTACGACAATTCATTAAAATCACTCGAGAGAACATCAAATAGCGTTTCTGCCTGTCGAATGATGTCTCTTAAGCCCTTCTTAACGCGTTCGGTTTCACGTAAAATCTCATAGAAAGAAATCACACCAATCAAATCAATTTAAAAAAAAAACAACCAACGCTTACGATTGAGATTAATGCAAAAAAAACAGAAAAAATTGAAAATGTTTTTTTTATTTCAGACTTTTTTCTGCCGTTTTTTAATTTTCCCATTTTCTCCATTTATTTTAAAAACCATAAAAAAGCCTCTATTAATTCTTAATTATCCAAAATACAAACTTCCCAATAAGCAAGTGTAAATATTTCCCCACTTTTTTGGTTTTAAATAAAAAATTTCCTCGACTAAAGACTTCTCCAACGGTACTAATTTAATTTTAAAATTACGTATTGATCTTTTGCTGTTTATGATATTGTGATTTTAACGTTTCAAGTTTCCAACTCCGACTTAAGGCAACTATTGTTAATTCTATTGAGTATGTAATATGCTCATGTTAAACTTTTCCACGGTGTTTTCGAAGTAATTTAGCTAACACTTTTGTGAGTTAGAAATGCAATTATTTCACTGTAAATAACTTATTTTCATTACAAAGAAAGATTCTGCACGGAATCGCTAACTACCATTTGTGATACAAAGCAAACAAAGGTCGAAGCCATTTGAATTTTTTATAGCACAGAGGCTAATGCCCGCCACAAACGCTTAACAATTGAAAACACTAGTCACAAATGAAGCAGTTGCATATGCTAACAAATTGTCAAGGCGATGCAGCAAAAGAGGCACCAAATACAAGAAGACAGAGTTTTGCAAATAATAGTTTGGAATATATAACAAACTGAAGGCATCTACACTAATTATGCATGTAATAAATTGGAAAGCTTAAAGCCACATTATGTATAAATTATGCATTTCAAAAAACTGCAAGATATATTGGGCAAGCAAATTTCTGAAATCGAGTTTTTAATAATGTTTTGTTTGAAACAAATAACTTCTTTCGAATCATTTGATGAATTTAAAATGAGTCAAATAAGTTAAATTTTTACTATTCGTATGTTCAATCACATGCTATCAAAAGCCCGTAAGAGTGCGCCAAAATTGGCACTATTATTTGCGACTTAGGCTAGAAAAAGAACAGTCGTCGTATAACACTAACGCCCACTAAAAGGCACTAGTTTAAAAAAGCTAAGAAACAAACACCACCGCTACATAAGCATTCAAATCAATTACCGAGTTGCAACTGATCCGACAATGCTGGGTCGAGGCCAGTCGAGCCGGAAACATGTTGTCATAAAAAACTTTAAGCTATACAGCTTTGAAATAGGAAGTTCTACACTCCATTCAGCATGCCTCGTGAAACGCAAAAAAGCAAAACAAACTATGCAACGACATAAATTGAGGTAAATAACAATCTGTTACTTAAACCAAAACCATTAAATCAAAAAAGAACAAAAAAAAGGAAATATAATGTATAAGACTTTGTAAGTTCATAAATTACAGAGCGTCTTTTATCTTTAGCTGAAACTGTTTGAATAGGAATAGTGACGCTTTGAGGACAATAGATTCTATGACTAGGAAAGTGAGCTAACTTAAGCATTGTCTATTTTAGCGCTTCAAACTAGGAAAAATGAGGTTCAAACTTAGTGGCGCCTATACAAAACAGTATCAAATGGCAGAGTGCAATTTTAAAACAGCCCAGTATGAAACAATCCAAAAAATCATAAAAATGAAGAAGAAGTTTCCCAATTGAGCATTTCAACTTATTTTTAAGCGGTTAAAGACTGACTAAAGTCCCTGTTATGGCCAAAACTTCTACGCCGCAGGCATAAGTTTGAATAAAAAATTGCGTTTTATCGGCGCGTTTTTTTAGAAAATTTTAGGGTCCGTCACCAAAAACGGATATCTCAAAACAGTGCAAAGAGGGGACCCTTTAAAAACATTAAAAAAACAGAAAGCTTTGTTGTAAATAATGACTTTTACATGGTCTCTAGAAAATATAGACTTCCAAAAAATTATAGACCAAATAATGACTTTTAAAAGATATAAATATAGACCAAGTGGCCAGCCTGGGTCCCATTGTCATCCGCTTCCTCGAGGTGGGATCGATTGCGGCAAAATGAATGACATCTCCCTCCCCCACGGTTGGTCCTGCACTGAGCAGGCCGGGGGCTAATAAAAAAAGTAAGCCGACGGTCAATTTCAAGACGCCGGTGGGCGCATTAACAAATGGTTTTAAACTTGGATTCCTGCTACCTTTCTTTGAGGCTACTTGACGACGCGTGTGAAACACCCACTTTCGGTCGGAACAAGAAAATCTTTAGTGAGACCTATTCAAAATGCAAGTTGAGATTTCAAATGTTTACACGGAAAACGCTATTTTTCTGGCTTGATTTTTCAACAGCCTGATTTCCGCAAAAGCAAATTTATGACACAGAGGCGAAGCTTAGCTTCGCACCACTTGCGAGACAAAACAAGAAAGCCGCTAAGTCGAAACGAATTCGAAAATTTTGAAAAAAAAAACTGTCTATCGATGAGGCTAGTTTTGAAGCAAAAACGAGCCAAGACAATAAAATGTGAAACTAGCATCTACAGAAAAGTTATCAAGCGATAACAAAGCCGGAAAAACCGTAGCAGAAACCATTTAGGCGGAAAAAATTGAACTTAAAAAAATCAAGTCCCCCACACTCTCAAACAAACACACTCACAAACTTTATTCACGTGTGAAAAGAAACAATATAGGCCAAGCCGAAAGATTACAAAAAAATGAAGACTAACAAAAAGTTATTAGGTTCACCTCACCCTCAAAAAATATACACAGTTCGTGAAACGACGCAATATGGGCAAACCTATTGCATAGAAAAAAAGTTTTTAAGACTTAAATTTTTTACGAAGTTATGAAGTCCCCTCGCCCTAAAAACACGGACATGCACCCACAAACCTTTTTCGGCCATCGAACGGGGCAATATGCGGCCATTAAACCGATATAATATAGTCCGAAACTTATCAATCCGGAAAAAAAGCCGAAAAAAACTGTTGTCATGAAAAACTTGAACTATAATTTCTATTAAGTTTTTAGCATTTTGTGCTATCCAGAGGTGAGCATAAAAGTTATATTTCCCTTGAAACCACTCATAATTAGCCCACTAAGCCGATATTAAATAGGCCGAAGCCTATTAAGCCAAAGAAAACCAAAAAAAATCGAGTTGGAAAAATCACAACCAACATAAAAAGCAAATTTTGAAAAGGACGGATATTTAAAATAACAATAATCATGCATGCTTAATATTTGCAACCAAGAGGAGTATAATTTCCAAAGAAGACGAAGAGGTGAATTTCATTTTCTGAACTGTGAATAAACATCACTTTGAAGCTATCAATTTCAAAAATTGATCATGATGATGGGCAAATTTTCCATTAAACTAAACCAAGTAGAGAAAACGGAGTCAATCGGATGTTTATTAAGATGGGAAGCTTTTTATTTTAAAGCCTTTTGCTAAACTTATGTCATTAACTTTTTTCACATCATTTGCATTTTTGTAGTTGGAGAGCGAAATGTCGATTCTTTTAGCAAACGGATTTCAATTGAACCAACTCGAAAATAAATCAGAAATCAAACTGCAAAAAATCAAAATTGAGCGTGCTAAAATTTTATGTTTTTTTTTCCAGAAAAAGAACCTAGTATACTTAGTAAAAGAACCTAGGAAAAGGTATGTGTTACAACAGGTGAAAATCACCGAGAAATATTTTCAAAATATCTAAGCAGCATCTCAAGCTAAAAACTTTACTAAGAAAAAAAGTAGGCCCTACGATTTAGAACTAAATCCTTGGTAGAAAAATCTGGAATCTTACCTGTGTGAACGCTCCAATTCAGAACCATTTTCTGAGCAATTATTTTGCATTAGTACACTAACCGTTTATGTTAACGAGGTTCACTTGATTTTACATGTGACCGAACTCCTTTAAGGGATGAATTTCTTTCTGAAATCCATGTGATGAAAACAGGGCATAAAATTGAATTTAAAAAAAGGTATATTTTGATTCATTTCAGTTTTCTAAGTTTTAGAGTTTTCAGCTCCAGCTGATTTCATGGTCATTGACTCCTGCCTCAATTCATTTCGAGCAGCTCTCAGCGTGTCTACCGAAACTTGCAGTCTTCTTATTGACTCCGCTTTGCCCAACATCAACAACATGTCAATCACACGGGGTCCACTTTTGTGAATGGAAAGACATAGTCGAATACAGGTGAATAATTTAGATTTATAGAAGGGGCTGTCAGGTGGCGACAACTTGGACTCCAGCTCCTGCTGAGTCAGCGGTTCCTCGCATTGCGATAGTTTCTCAATAGCGTAATCAATTATCTTATTTTGCTTTTGAATACTGACGAAGGATGATTCAAAAGGAGGTTCCCAAGCCCACAGAAATCTAGTTTCGGGAGAAACCACAAACTCTTTGACCGTTTTCACGTCACGTATTCTATGTTCCAACATTTTCATCAGCTTTTCGTCGGCTAATTGAGCTTCGTCTAATTTATACTCTTCCAAATGTTTCTTCAAAGTGGCAAGTACAAAATCCTGGCCGCCTTTAGTTTTCCATTTTTCATTCAAATCAAGTCTACTTAAGTGCTCCAACTTTTTCTGATCGAGACACGCCGAATTGTGTTTGATTTTATCGAGCTGAAACTTTTCACACATTTCATCAAGACTCATCAATTTCAATTGACCTTCATTTTCTTTCAAAATTGGAAATCCACCTCCAGTCAGTGTTAAGTAATTCAGCAAAGCTTCCGGACTGTATCCAGCCTCGATAAAATTAGAAACATTTATCGTATGGCGATCCCTTTTCGACAACTTTTGTCCGTTTTCGTTTGCAATTAAAGGCAAATGATGAATTTCCGGAGGCTCAAAGCCCAGCTGCTGATACAAAAATAGATGTCTTGGAACAGCTGGTAGCCATTCAATCCCACGTAATACATGAGTAATCTTCATTAGATGGTCGTCCACTACGTTCGCAAAATGGTATGTCGGAAACCCATCTGATTTAATTATTATGAAGTCACCTTCGTCTACAATTCCCGGAACAGACCCGTGGACTTTATCTTCATAATCATCCATGGACTGAGGCAACTTTACCCGAAGTGTGAATGGTTCACGCCTCGAGATTCGCTCGTTTATTTCCGATTCAGACATGTATCTACACTTTCCGTCGTACCGCGGTATTACTCCACTCTCGTATGCTGCGTGTTTTATCACAGTCAATCTATGTGACGAGCAAAAGCATCTGTACGCTTTGCCTTCTTCCAATAGTTTTTCAGCATACTTCTGATAAACAGGGCATCTCTTGGATTGCACATAAGGACCAAAACTACCTTTTTCAGTCTTCATTGCTCTGTCGGTTGGACCTTCATCCGGAACCAGATTAACAAAATTCAAAGCTTCCCAGATCGAATCCATTGCTCGCTCATGGAACCTTGTTCGGTCCGTGTCCTCAATTCGCAAGATGAAGAAACCATCGTGCTTTTTCGCGAAAAGATAATTATACAAAGCGGTTCTCAAGCCTCCTAAATGCAATATTCCAGTCGGACTCGGCGCAAACCGCGTTCTTACTTCGGAATCTTGTAGACTTGACGATGATTCTGTCTGTTGACAGCAGCATCTTCGTTGCAACAGCGTTGAAAGAATGAGTCTGCCTACACCTTTTTCAAGGATACCTATTCGGTTCAACACTCGCATCTTAAAAATTAAAACATAGCCAACAGACAGTTGGAGAAGAGTCAATGAACGCTAGTAAACACAAAAAAAACCACTGACTTTTTTGAAAAAATCTTAACTATCGAATTCCAAAGAAAAAGATAGATACCGTCAAAGCTTTTGAATTTCTAGAACAATTTTAGCTTGGGACCTTTTCGATAAAATGAACCCAAATTGAGAAAATTGGATCAATAAGTATAATTTGTGTTTCGGTGGGAAATCTGAAAATTAAATTCGACTTTTGAAACTAGAAGTTGATCACGTTTTCCGTGCCCTTTACATTTTTGCTGTTCGATAGTGGAGCTTGCCTTCCTTTTAACAAAGGAAAAAAGAACTGAATCTAAAAAAATCAAAAACAACCACTAAGCCATTTGAGCCTGAAACTTACTACGTTCATCGACTCCTAATCGCACATTCTGATCGGGGGACTTAAAGAATTATCATCCACTTTTCTACCTTAAACAAACTGGAAATTCTTTTAAAATAACTAACAATGAAACCCAAAGGCTACTTTTCAGTTTCTTACCAGCTCGGTAAGTTTTGTTCTCAAAATCGCCGATCAAAAAATCCACGAAAAATATTTAAACTGAAGTAGGTACATCACAAAAAAATTCAAAGACTTTTCACAATAAGAAGACGCATAGATGAAATTTTATTTCCAAAAACGTTGAAACACAAAAAATGCACACTAAATTACTTGTACCATTTGGAATATATCAATTAGAGGTTCTAAAGAAGGTCTGCCACCGAGGCAGACCTTCTTTTCTATTGCGATACAAAACAAACTTAGCATCGTAAGCTAGAAGACAAACAATGATAGGAAAGCCACCAAGTCACTTAAAAAAATCACAACTTTCAAATTTGAAAGAAAAAATAGATGCCTTTTAAGCTCTTAGAATTTCTAGAACGATTTGTGGTAGGCACTTTTTTGATAACATGAACCCAACTAGAGAAAACTGCATCAATTGGTAAAGTTTTTATTCCGCTGTACATCTTAAAATTTAATTAGAAATTGTTCGTTTGTTCGCGCCATTTCCACGTTCGTGTTTCGAGACTGTTATTTACGTCACTTTCAGCTGAATTTCAACAGAACTCAAACAGTGCATATATACCAAATTGCAATCATAAATGCATCAATACGTATGAATGCACATCTGTAGTTATTAGATACTTTTAAGACTTTTCCTGAAAAAAAAACAAAAAAAATCAGCAAGACCGCTGCGTTCATTACTCAAAAAATTATCTCGAATGATTTTCAATTGAACAAGGAAATGCATGAAACAAAATCAACACCGCTAAATAGGCATCAAATACTTTTAAGACTTTTCCTGAAAAAAAAACAAAAAAAATCAGCAAGTCTTCGCTGCGTTCATTACTCAAAAAATTATCTCGAATGATTTTCAATTGAACAAGGAAATGCATGAAACAAAATCAACACCGCTAAATAGGCATCGAAAATCAGCAACCGAGCGGCAACTAAGCCGCCGATACATGGGCAAAAGCCAGTTGAGCCAAAAACAAAAAAACGTCATGGAAAATTCTTCATCCCCAGTCCTCTTTACCAAAAAGGCATATCATTCCTATTTTTCGCTTCAAACGACGCAAATGAGGCAACTAAGTCGACGTAGCATAAGCCGCACACATTTGAGTGGGACAAAAAGGTTAAAGAAAATCGGAGTTGGTACAAATTACAGTATGTCTTTCAATTATAATTTAAATGGCTTAAATCAGAAGAAAAATTACGGAGAGAAAACATTCCATGCTTTGGAGAGTGAGCCGAGAAAAATAAATTAAAAACCGATAATGCGGCTATACAATTTCAACACATCGAAGAAAATTAATATGTTCTGAATAGATTCGAACCCTAGATCTTACGTTCCAAACGCGCGTTCTTCATCGCTAGACCAATTAAAAAGTACCTAATAGACGTAGAGGTTCCATGATAAATCAAGCTCAATTTCTAGATTAAAAAAAATGTTTCGGAGTAATTCTCGATTTGCCAGTAAAAAAAATGTTGAATTTCCCAGCTTGCGGTTGAAACCATGAGAAAGTAAAAAAAAAAAAACAGTAAAAAAAATCAGGCGACCCATTTGACAACATTTGCTAACCACAACGGTGAATTACCCAAAACTATAATGAAAGAAGCCTTGAAACTCACGGCACAATTTAACGGATTGCTCTTCAGTGGCAGTAAAATGTACAAGTTTGTATCTATAGTTGACAGAGCTTTTATGATTTCACTTGAAAACAATATTATTATTGTTTCGTTCCAAGGATCAGATGGAAAGCTTGAAGTCGGTGTGAATTTTTCTTTAGACCTTTCTTTTTAACAACCTACTTTTGAACGGAGTTTTTTCTACCATCTTAAAAACACTTACGTTCTTAGATCGAATTTAAAAATATGCATATTTAACCTATGATCATTCTTGTAAAGTTATGACAGTTTGAAAACTGCAGTTTGGCTCATTTGGAACAATTAAAGAGCGGTATATTTAATTGTAATTTAATCCGACTCAGAAGTCCTATTTAGGAACTATTAGTACGTTGGTAGACGCTACTTTCATCACTTTGGGGGACTACTTTTTACCAGAACGACCTTTCGCCAAAAAACATGAGTCGATAAAAATTTTTGAGTGACAGGATGTATTGAAGTCGTTTAATCTGGGTAAAGACAACTTTTTCACGTATTATCAGCAATTTTTTATCATTTAACAGCTTCGTTTTCGAATGGAGTTATCGTATAGTGGTCTGGTACAAGGTCGGTCTGGTAATATGTCCAGCCCACGCCACCAATTTTTACTTAGAAAAGCGGTTAGTAAATATTATCTAAAAGTATCTGAATTTTCTTAATTTTAAAAATATCCAAATTTTTATCAATGTTTGAATAATTAAAAGGACGACTTACTATATGAACCTCAATTGGCTATCGAAACATCCAAGTCTTTGCCCTGATACGAGCATTTATTGTTATTTTAATTTTCGACAGAGGTGAAGCCGATCTTCGCACCACTTGAAATACAAAAAAACAGAGCTATCAAAACCAGAACATTTATCAAGCGGTAACAAAACCAAAAACACCTGAGCAGAAACCCTTTAAACCAAAACAGTTTTAAACACAAAATTAAAAAGTATTGAACAGTTAACACTCCATCCCCCTCAAAAAACTTACAGGCACATAAGAACATTTTTCGCTCATCAAATGACACAAAACGAGGACAATAAGCCAACATAATGCAGGCCGAAACCTATTAAACCGTGAAATTACGACCAAATCTAAACAGCAAATTTAGACAGAGGCGAAACTGCGCTTTGCAAGCACTAGCAAGAAAACGACAATTAGCTCCATAAAGTGAAATAAAAAAAATACACCTTGAAAAAAGATTTTTGCTGTGGCGGAATCAATCCTACGACTAGGAGATTTATAGTCCCCTGTCCTCGCATCTGCGCTACGAGCCCTTGACAATTTGCAAAAATTGCCACAGATATAGTAGCTACATTTGCTAATAAATTGCCAATGCGATGCAGCAAAAAAGGCGCCAAATAGAAGGAGACACAATTTTGCATGTAATAATTTGGAATATAACAAACTGGGATCCGCATTAACATCGCATGTAATAAATTGCAAAGCATAACGCCAAATTGTATAAATTATGCGCTTCAAAAAAAATCGCGATATACATTGAGTTAGAAAATTCTGAAGTTTTTTTATTGTTATGTTTGAAACAAATCGCTTTTATCGGTTCATTTGAATAACTAAAATTGAATCAATTGTGTTAACTGATTACTAATCGAAAGTCAAAGAACATGCTATCAAAAAGAAGTAAAGAAGTTAAGGTTTACCAAAAGCGGCATCAAAATATGCGATTTCCTTTGCAAAAAAAAGAAGAGTCGTTGACGCTAACAAGTGTAAAAAGGACGGATTCTTAATGCTAAGATGCTCAAATTAAGTATGTTGCAGCATTTCCAACAGACCAGGAGATGAATTCTGAGCACGAAGTTATTTATGGGGGAAAAAGTCTAGTACCCGATTGCAATACCAAAATCCGAATTTACCGTTTTCTGGGCTAAGAAAACAATCTTACCAAAATCGTTATCATTGCAATTCTGGTACCAAAAAATAAAATTATCCCTCATTTTTCGGTCTGAATTGTAGGAACAGATGTAGAACTACAAGTATCTTTAAACCTTTAAATTAGTTATATTGCGTCTATTCGCCTGCATTAAGCGCAAACAATTCAAAAAAAAATTTGGGATATACTTCGCAGCCAAGTGAGTATTCCACAAATTTTTCAACAAAATTGCAAAAAAATGGACATTGTGTCGATAACAGAGGTAAACTTTTGTATAGAAGGTTGCATCTCAAGGTGATATCGGAATTCAATCAAGAGTAAAATGGTCAGTTTGTTGACAAACTTGAATCATTATATTTGAAATTTGATAAATTATGAACATAAGAATTTGCTGAGTATGAAACTTTTGAACGGCGAAATAACTTTTTTGTTGCCAACAAAGATTCCGAAATTTGCTAAAAATTAATGAGAACTAAGCTTGTTTCCTGCTTGTCAAGTGGTGCACTAGTTCTGTTTTCTTTATTGCCAATGAAGTGCTCGTATGATTTCTAAATGAATTAAGGAGATTTTTAAAATCTTTTTCATCAAGGATCTCGATTAATGTTTTTCATGTTAACAAGGATGTTAGATCGGAGCGCGTGTCTATATAATTGAACAATGTCATCATCTGAGAACTTGAGCTTCTTTGCGACATCATCCATAAAAGTTCAATGTTTTCTACAGTGGGTGTAATTTTTTGCCTGCAAATCCGTTGAAAATCAGATACACGTTACCAAAACCAAATGAACGCATCGCATATGAAGTTTAGTAACCTGATTGAGCGAGGCAAAAACTTTTAAATCTCCAGTCGGCAATGAAAAAATTTTCATTGCCGACTGGGGATTTTAAAGTTTTTGCCTCGCACTGTTTGAAAAGTTTCACCCGCATCCGAATTCCGAGCCCAGGGGGTTTTCACACTCAATTTTTGGTCGCTTCGCCATCACCTAGGCCTATTTTGCGCAAAAAATTCTCGAAGTGGTATATGACCATGCAGCAAGTAAATATCATATTATGAAAGGCTAAGAAATACACCATAACTTGTGTTAATAACGGAAATGATTGTCTGACTGGACCATCTTAAGCAAACAGCTAACTTGATTCTACTCAGCTCCAATGAGCTCAAAATAGTTCAAGAAGTTCTTCATGCTTCATCTGATTTTGTCATTCGAAGGTACAAGACTAGATAAAACACTGAAGTTAATTCCATAGAATAGACATGATATTAAGCTTCCTCGTTCGACAAAAAATGATATCAATCAAAGAACTTAACAGGAAAGTTTTAGTTACTGCACATTAGTTTTAAATCGATCACACGCAAGAGATGCCTATCGTACCATTAAATACCGATCCATTCTAAATTGAGAAACGAAAATGCCATTCAAATTTTATGAAATGAGAACAACACTTATCTCTCTACGCATAGGATTACATTTGATGACATGATTAAGGAGCGGTCAGTTCGAGGAAACCAAAAGTTTGCATTGGTTTCCTAACAAGGCAGAAAAAATATCAAATAAATCAGCTCGAAAAGGCGCAATATTTAAGAAAATTACACCAGAACAAGATCGTACATTTTTAACAAACCACATCAATATTTTTGAAACATTAGCCAAAATAAAATCATTTTTTCGCTTTTTGGAAAAAATTAGAAGCACAGAACATCATAAAAATGTTTGAATTATGAAGCTATTTACTAATATTCTAATAACTAGATCTCTAAGCTAAATTATTAACTGGACAGCACAACTGATTGCATTCGCCGCGAGTTTCGACCTTGAAATCGTAACTTAAACAAAGTTCGATTTTAACAGAGGCATGCATAGAAAATTTTTCGCCCTGAATTTAAAGAAGCTCTGATAGAGCTTGCACCTTCAAGGATAGATATCAATGATTCAGTTCTCATTGAATATCAAAATATGTATCTACATATAGCAGTTTACAAATTACTTTTTCACACACTTCAAGTTTGATAAATCAAAAAAATAAGATGCATCTTAATGGAATGTAAACACTTGTTTTTGAAACATTATCATGTCGGTTAAACAAAACCAGTTCTGACTTTTTTGATTGCTTCTCCGAGCCTCTGTGAATTAGCACTTACACTTTTGAGCGGAATTTATTCTAGTAAGTACTGTTTTAGAGTGAGCGGCAAAGGAAGGGTCTCCACTTTCGTTTCAAGGTATGATTTCGCATGATTTGATGTCTGTTGTGCGTTGTTGTTGTTACTCGAGGCTGAAGCCGAGCCGTGCAGCCCGAATGCACCTGACCTTGACCTCTGACTGTCTTCGGGTGAATTGCTTCGTAGACTTGATGAAGAGTCGTTGTGAGACTTCGCTGCGTTGTTGTTATTGTTGTTTTGCTGTATGGATTCACGACATGATTGCTTTATCACTCGACGACACAGTTCCTTCAGAGTAAATGCAGCAACTGAAAAACAAAAAGAAACAGTTGAACACAAGCTAGGAGGTGCTGTCTGTTGCTCATGGTACCCCATAGAAAATGCTTTATCGATACAGAAGTTATTTTCCTTACTACTTCATACCGAAAACAAAAAGAAAGCTGGTTGTTTTGCAATCAGTACAGAATCAACCGACTACCATTAAATATGGAAAAAATTTCAAGTAAAGGTAAAAAAAATAAAAATCGAAAAAACTTCGATTTTTTAAACTTTTTTTAAGTGAAGGTCAATTAAATTAGGTAAAACAATGCAGAAGAAGAGCTATTTGTAGCTTAAAACATAGACAACCGACAGTTGAAAAGAGTCAATGAACGCAAGTATGATTTACAATTTCTTCATAAAACTAACCCAATTTGAGAAAACTGGATCAATAGTAAAATTTTTAGCTGGTAAATCTGCACAGAGGCGAAGCGGAGCTTCGCAACACTTGTCGTGCAAAAACTTATCGCGCAACAACAGTGAATGGGAAAAAGACAAAAGTCAATTAAAACTACTGAAAAATCAAGTTGAAAAAATTTTTTAAAAAAACGAAAAAACTAAAGCTACCAAAACTTCACGATGGTATCGGATGAAACTCATAAACAGCCTTTAGAAATGGAAATCAGTTATCGAGCGGCAACAAACTTTGGGTCGAAACCTGTTGAGCCTAAAAAAAAACTGTTGTCAAAAAAATTTTAAAACGTTTTTACGACCCATCAAATTGAAACAATCGCATACGGATATATTTTACCCTCAAAAACATAACCAAATAACAGTTGGAAAAAAGTAATGAGTGCAAGGTACTGAAAAAAAAACTTCTCTGTATTGTTTTTTCAAGAGCCTTCACATTTTGAATTTCGAAGAAAAAAATAGATGGCCTTAAAGCTCTTTGAATTTGAACAATTTATGATGGACACTTTTTTGTTAAAATTAACCCAATTTGAGAAAACTAGATCAATACGTAAAACTTTTATTTCGCTGGGAAATCTGATAAATAATTTCCAATTTCGAAAGCAGAAGTCGATCACGTTTTTCGTGACCTTTTCACTTTTGCTGTTCGATAGTATCAAACGTATCAAATATTAAAAGTTGATAAGAACGATTTCAACAAACAATACCTCATTAATGAAATAAAAACAAGGAAACTTTTTTTGTTTTTTCAATATTTCAGCCGGAAAGGATCAAACTCTTGAAAATCCTACGACTCTTGAAAATCTTTCGTAGACAAAACAATCATGTCAAAATTTCAAATGAATTTTATTACTGAAATGTAAATCGATTTCAAATGAATTTTATTAACCTAAAACACACCAAACAAAAAAACTAAGACTAGCTCCGCGCATTTTTACTACCTAGACAATCGGAAACCATAAATCCGAAAAATTCAAAACTAAAATAATAAAAAATTTCTAAAAGAAAAATTATTTTTGTTTTTCTTTTCTACTCTTGAAAAAGAAACAGAAGTATTTAATAATTGAAGGAAACCATTTTTATTTTATTGAAAAAAGGCGAGCTTTAAAGGCGATAATTTTGGACAACTTAAAGTTCGAAAATTTATTTAGCCGTCTAACCTCCATAAATAACATTCAAATAAAGCTGGTAAACCTGGCTGGTGAAAACAAAGCAGAAACTAAGCCGACAAAAAACTGAACGCGACCAGTCGAAAAATCAAGAAATACCAATGAAATATCATTTCAAAGGTTGAACTGCGAACTAATTGGAAAAACACTAATAAGGATGCACAGTGGGAGTAATAGATCAATGAGCGCAAACGGGACGCACATACTGCATGCATGTCGTGTACTGCATACATACTGAAAACTGTGGACAAAATTGTTCGCGGAAAAAAGTCTAGTACCCGATTGCAATACCCTTGCTATCGGAACGGTAAAAAAATCAAGACTAGCTGGCATTAAATTAGATGAAAGTCGCTAATTCGAAAAAATATCATTTAAAAACGTCAAAAAATGTATATATAAAAAATCGAAAACCGTTCTCAATTTGTCTGGTATGAAGATATTTAGCAAAATATGCCAATATAAAACAAATTAAGGTTAAACTGGGATCGTAAAAAAGTTACGAAGCGGTAACAAAGCCAACTTTGTTTGATCAGACACCCGTTGAAGACAAAAAAACTCCGCCTCAAAGGACGACTTCATTGATTAAACGGCTCTTCCCCCCACCTGCAAAATTTTACTTGTGAAATTTTGTTCACATCATCCGATTGTTACGAAAATTGGCATGCAAACTAATAAAGCCATGACAAACATAGTTGGTCTTCATGTTTAAACTTGCAACACCCCTCGTTACATCATAAAAATTATGCTTATGTGAGGTGGGAAGAAAGGAAAAAGAGCCGATTAAACATACATCAATGACTCAAGCGCAAAATCAAAAAACAAGCCCTGGCCGATTTGAACCACCAACTTTTGACGTCCCAGCAGCTATGAAGTTTGAATTCGAGCTATGAAATCATAAATCAAGCTATATATAGAAATTTTTTTAAGCAACTTGTTCACCTGGAAAATGTCTGTTCCGATTCGATAACGCTTGCTAATCACAATCGTAATAAAAATCAAACCTGATTGGAACGAGCTGATATATCTGATTTTGACCTCGCAATGGCCCCAGACAGCACTGATAATTGGATAAATTGTTCGACCTTGTAGCCCTTCGAAGGCCACGCCGAGGAAGATGTTATCAGCCATGAACGATAAAGTTCCGGCATCCATGTCTAGAATTACTTTGATACAATCTGTCAAACAGAGTATGTCTTCTGCTACTGATGTGTTTGAAAACTTTGGATACGTTCGAGGAGGGAGTCGGACGCAATCATGAAGAAGTTTTGATCTTCCTAAATCCCAGCCCCATGACTCTTTATTGCTTCCGATAAGAGAACGATAACCAGGACAATGAAGTGGAGCTTCAGCAGTTGCCACACCGATCATTGCATGAGTTCCTCTCTGCTTAACTTCCCATTCAATTTCCCACATATGGATCCCAGTACTGAAGCCCTTATTTCCTCTGATGCAGTCTGTGCTTTGAGCAACGGGTAAGCGTCTGCAAACTCGTCCATTGCATTCGGGAAGCACCACTATGTTCATAGATTTGTCCTCTGTATTCCAACCCATAGAATCGCATTCTTTTCGCGGTGGTGTGTCAAGCAACAAACTCATCTTATATGGTATTGGGCATTCAGTTCTTGTAGGGTACTCAATTGGAGCATTGTCAGCAAGTCTCCGCTGCTTTTCAGAGCTTTCACCAGATTCGCGGTTGGATCGAGAAGTCGAGCTTCTGCCTGACAAATTGCTCATTCTTTGGCCCATCTTTGTTCTTTTGAATGAAGATAACATAAAGACGAATTGACAATAACACTGCACACAGCCAACTAAATTAAAACGACAGTAAAACTGAAACAATATAAGTTTAGTTGCGACTGCTAAAAACAGTTCAGGCCGTTATTTTCGTTAACCGTTTTCACGCGTAAAAATCATTTCCGGAAACTGTTTAGCGCGTAGAAATTATTTATATCTAGTTTTTCAAAACTCACAAAGTTTTTCAAAACTCGCTACAACGAATCAGACACATGCACTTGGCGCATTTATGCGAATGCAACAACTGTACAGACCTGAAGAAACTTACACTTATAACTGAAAACTAAAATTTGAACAATTCAATGACTGGGTTTTATGCGAACCCTTGGATTATACTCCTAAATTCTTTGTTATTATTATTATTATTATATATGGAAATCAGGGTGTGACATTCGACCAGAATGCACCAAAATGCAGATTCAGCAGAACCTTTAGCAGCGAACCTTCCGAATTGGCGATTTTGAAGGAATAGGAGCGTTATTCGAACGATTGGACTAATCGTGAAGGCAGAAGGATTTGGAAATTCCTAGATTTTAAAAACTCGATTTGATGACGTAACAATTCTAGGAAACGTCAAAAACGGCCATTTTGGCAGAAAACCGGAGAAAAACACAACATTAGTTGCGATAGCGTTAACAACGAAAATTGTGATTGAGAAACAACAACAAATTGCAGAAGTAGCAGAGACCATTCCGAGTTGCAACTATTGTGTCGCTACAATAGTTGCAAGGCCGTTGCGAACAACGGTGAAGGGTGGAAGACAGCCTTCCGGAAGGAAAATAAGAGCCTTATTTCCCCGGATTCGAGAATCCGGAGGGGTCTCGGGACTGCAGCTGATAAGGTTTTACATACCTTTTTAGCTTCCCTGTCATGTCCTGAGTTGAATTTAATTAACATCTGAATTCATTTTGCTAGGATGAGAAGCTAGGAGTTGGGGGAAAGGGTTGATCCACTTTCGATGGAGATGATGATTTTTATCTACTGAACAAAAACAAGGATAATTCAACAAATAGTAGTAGCCCTGTTTTTAGGAGTGACCTCGTGGTCTGGGGATACTGAGACCCAGTCATGAGCTCACTATTTCTGCATGTAATCTAGTTAATTTGAGTGTTTTGACCGAAGCCGGAAGCAGTAACGTTTTTGTCGACCCGATGTTAGAAAGACCACCGAAAGTACTGGCTTGGTAGAGACGATTAAAAGCATGTAAAGCTCTGTTTAGACGTTGGCCAGTCGTCTTAGGACTTAGTTTTATTTTCCGTCGAGATGTATTTTCCGGGCGAATGTTACATAGATGTTTTTATGGCTCTCCTGGGTGTTATTCCTTTTTAACATCATGACCGGCAGAACCGTTAACGAGCACTCCGCGCCAAGCGGATGCTCACATTAACGCCCTTAATAGGCCTAAACCGCCGGGGCGGAAGGGTAGTTCGGAACGCGGAAGCCTTCCGGATTACCGTGAATAGCTTTTTAACCTAGTTAAGACCGAAAATTCACGAATCAGGAAGGGTGGGTGGATCGGCCATCCCCTCGTTCCCTGAGAGGTTTGTGACCAAAAACACTTAAAGATATATATAAAACCAAACAAAAAGTAGTATAGTACCCAAAAAAAAAACAAAAAACATAAAAATTAACCGAAAAAAACCAAAAACAGTAAAAAAGTAAAAAATCAGTAGAAATCATCCCCCCAGACAAGATGTGATCCAACCCTCCCGTTTGTTGTTGATAGATATATTGTTGTTACAGGCATTTATATCAGTCAAGATTGTTACGATCATTTTTGTGGCCCGTTTGTGAGGCTTGTACTGTAGGGTTATTTGAGCATTTAAGCACGTTAATGATAAATTGCGCTCAATCCGGAAGGGTCAGCTGATTTGCGCTCAATCCGGAGGGGTCTTGGGAGAAGACTGATCCGGCAAGCAGTACAAGGAGCAACAAGAGGGGGCTCAACGACAACAACAATCGACTGTTGGGTATCGTTGACAAGTTTTGTATCCCTTTTGGTACAAAAATTAAGATAGTAATCTGTGGGGGGCTCGACAGTGCTGCACTGTTGTGACCCTTCACCGAACTGCGAATATCCGAGTTAAGCACCTTAATTCGGATATTAAACAAACCCGGAGGGGTATAGTATTACTAAAATTATTACTTATAACCTATTTTAATACTCCTATATCGTTTTTCAGTGAAAAGCACAGAAAGCAGACCGGTTTTTAGGGTCAAAATAGCGATATTTTGATCCCCCCACAAATCGCGATTTTTGAGATATCGATAATTTTTGAAACGGAAAAAAGCGCTAAATTAGTGTGTTACATCATAACTGCACTACTATAATAGATAGAACCGGTTAAGTTTAGTTCGGAAGTGGTTGGAACTATTTTGGAACCAAAAACCGAATTTTCGTGATTTTTGAAAAAACGGAACACTAAAAATTCAGAAAATTTTTTGAAATTTTTGAGTTAGGACAGTAAAAATAGTTGTTCGGACAACGTCCACTAATGAATCTACGAGTTTTAAAACCCGCTACCCGAAAGCCTTCCGGGTTGCAGCAGAGAAATCGAACTTAACGTGTTTGATTTGGTGGATTCATCAATCCGTAGGGGTCTAGGTAGTATCGTTTTTCGCAAATTTTTTCAACTAAAGCGTTTTAGATCGGGTTTTTTGCATTGAACTAGAAGATTATAGGCCTTCTGAGCTCGGATCAATAATTTTCAGGTCGAAAAGAACAGATTTGCGGAAAAGTTAAGCGGAACCTATAAGAGAGAAATTTTTTTGTCTTTAGAAAAAAGACGTTTTGGTTAATAACTTTGGAACTACTGGACAGATCCAGTTAATCTTGGTACCAATAAATCAAAAATTAGCTGAGCTTACTGACAGGGACAAAAATTTTTCGAAAAAGTAAGCGTGAAAATTTTTTGAGATTGTTTTTAGCATATTCACCAATTTGGGAGGGTAGACTCTTCACGTTTTATAACTTTTTTTTAGGAAAGCCCTTACACCCCTACCAAAAGGTAATAGCGGTTGAATAAAGTAACTTTAGGCTCTTCTAGACAAAAAGGCAAGGCTAAAGGCACAAGAAAACCTTAATCGAGCCGAAGCTAGGCTAGCGATAAGACCCTTCACCGTTAGAATGAATTGTCAAATAAGAGGCTTAACTTCAATCCGGAAGGGTCTAGGAAAGCATTACATACCCTTCCTAGTGGATTGAAAAAGCAAAATAGCATCGGAAAACGTATCCGGAGGGGTATAGGTTGAAAGAAGAAAATCTCCGAAAAGCTACTTTTACAATATCAGAGGGGTCCCAATCCGGAGGGGTCAAAAAGTTTTTCAAATTAGGAGGGGTCCGAATCCGGAGGGGTCTTATAGTTGCCAACTCATAGGGGTCCGAATTCGGAGGGGTCTAAGTTTTGCAAGTCCGGAAGGGTCCTATTTTGCCAATCCGGAGGGTTATTATTTTATTAAAGAACTTAGGTAAACAGAAGAAAGACTACAGTGAGAGGTATTAGGTTATTAGCAGACAGGCTAGGAATCAGTGACTGCACTGGTAACTTGCCTTTCAAAAAGAACCAGACCAAAACAAAACAGGTCCGAACTCGGATATTCGCGACACTAAGTCTAAACTAAAAAGAGCGTAATTCATTGGTGTGGATTGAAACCCAATACGTTTTTTTTTGAAAAGTGACTGCCCTGAGGATTTTAGTAGGTCTAGCTCGGGCAGTCCGAAGGCAGATAGGTAACACAGTACTCGATGGGTGCAATAGACGCCCACTTGAGAAAATTACTGCCTTGAAAATTTTGTCTGTTTGGTGCAGCACCAAGCAGGGAAAAGTAGTATAGGTTGGGGCAGTTCAAGGGGGCCTGGCGACCCCCATGTATTAAGATAGGCTATAGACTATCCAGTCGCCAACCTATGTATGAAGATAGGAAATAGATTTCCAATGAATTGAGATAGGGAATAGGTTTCCCAATGTATTAAGATACGAGGTTTCAGATGGTAAGTTTCAGATGGTAAGTTTCAGAAAAATTTTTGGCGCCCGAATTTCCCATGTAAAGATTTCCCTATGTCTAAGACATTCTTTGTAGTGAATTAAGAACTCATTAGGGAATAGGATTCCTAATGTATTACGACGGTAGGTTTCAGATGGTAAGATGGTAAAGTTTCAGATGGTAAGTTTCAAAAAAAATTTGGCACCCGAGTTTTTTGGAGCTCGATTTAGCCAATTTTCCAGATTTTAAAAGTTTTCCTAATCAAAAAACAACATACTCTTAACCCAAAAGTAGCGTTTAAAAAGAGTTTTTTTTAAAAAAAGGTTAATTACAGAGAAAATGTATTAGTTCACAGCATCTACAAATTTCTTACAAATTTAGAGGTTTAGTATGTATTCCATCACATTCAAAATCCCGTTTAGGGTAAAATAGCTCAATCCTTTTTTAGTTTGTTCATAAGTTGCGACTGCATGGTTAATCGTTTTAAATCCTCTATTCGTTGACTTCAAGTTCACTGCCTCATCCAGTACTTGTCGATACTTTGCCATTGGCCATCTCCAGAGTCTTCTAATGCACGTTTGTTCAGACCTTTACTGCTAAACTTATACTTTTGACTTTTACTATCGTAACAGCAATAGGTTTTACTACACAGGCATAACATTTCGGTGCATCTGAACTCCTCCTTGAACAATCCTGGTTCTCTCTTGTCATGTTTCTTATGTTTAGAACAGCAAGTACGGGGAAAAAGTTGTTTTTTGCATCTGCTCTGAAATCGTCTCGACAGTCCTTGCTTCGCCTTTCAGTCCATTCTGCTCGCTTGCTGGGAAGGATACAATCATCTAAATTTTCTTCTGCCAAAACCAAATATAGGGAATCTGTATCCATTTCGAGTTCTTCGAATTTGTTGACATCGCAAAATTCATCGAAAAAGTTATAATACAACTCCAACATTCTCAACTTGGCATACTGTAGTATAAAAAATCCTACTATAATTGGTTCACGATGCTCTATAGTAAATTTAACAAGTTCCACTTCATACAAATCTTTAGCTACGATATTAAGTCTCTTGAAGA